GGGGGAGCTCTCCCGGGGTCGCGACCACCCCGCGGTCTACTCGACAGAACCTCCGGGACCTGGTGATGGGCAGCTCCCCGCAGCTGAAGAGGAGCGTCTGCACTGGCGGCAACAGCCCCGGGGGCTTCTCTGGGGGAGGACGCGGCAAAGGCGGGGGCGACTCGGACAGCGCTTCCGTTGCTTCGTCGTCGGCGGAAGAGGAGAGCAGCAGCGGGGGCTCGGTGACGCTGGACCCCTTGGAGCACGCCTGGATGCTCTCGGCCTCGGACGGCAAGTGGGACAGCCTGGAAGCGCTGCTCAGCTGCGAGCCCGGCCTGCTGGCCAAGCGGGACTTCATCACCGGCTACACTTGCCTGCACTGGGCCGCCAAGCACGGCCGGCAGGAGCTCCTGGCCATGCTGGTCAACTTCGCCAACAAACACCAGCTGCCGGTGAACATCAACGCCAGGACGAGTGGAGGCTACACCGCCCTGCACTTGGCAGCCATCCACGGGCACGTGGAGGTGGTGAAGTTGCTGGTGGGGGCCTACGACGCAGACGTGGAGGTCAGGGACTACAGTGGGAAAAAGGCGTCGCAGTACCTGAGTCAGAGCATCGCCGAGGAGATCAAAAACCTGGTGGGAGCCCTGGACGACGACGAGGGCGAGATCTCCGCCGGCAGCGGGGGTGGGCGCTGGAGGCTTTCAAAGGTACTCCCCTCGCACCTCATCACCTACAAACTCTCGCATGTCCTGGAGGATGGAGGGGACCACCACCACCACCACCACCACCACCACCACCTGGCTGAGGGATGGGCAGGAGGCAAAGCAAAGGACCCAGGTCGCAAAGCCTCAGGCAGCTCTAGTGGGCGGATAAAACCCAGACTCAACAAAATCCACTTCCGAACCCAGATCATCCACACCACACCCTCTTTCAGAGACCCGGAGCACCCTCTGGAGGAGGGAGAGCAGGAAGAAGACCGGTCTCTTAAAGGCCACTTACCCTCATTCAAATTGAGACCAAAGTCCAATGTATTTGGGTAAAAGTAATTTTTTCAGAAAATTCTAATGTTTATTTGTTGACCGAAATACAATACTAGATGTAGGCAAGTAAGTGAGACCAGAAAAGACAGGCTAAATTATGCATTCTTTGGGGGCTTGGGATGGGGGTCGGGGGAGGGAGTTTCCCCTAGTATTATGGGTGAGGTGGAAAGCTTTCCAAGTGACTCATCAAACCTTGACCTAGGCCCCCTTTCCCCATGCCATCCCTCTGCCCTGGAGTCCCTGTTTGTGAGGACTAGATATGTATCTAAATTGGGGATACAGAATTGACCACTGAGGGTTCCTTTGATTTAACTATTATTGAATGCTATGCCAAGTGAGGAATATTGCATGTTTATGACTGTTTTTTTAAAAGTGGTTACCCTTCCAAAAACAACAAGATATGCAAATTGTAATGAAACTGGTAATATTTGTTAAGTGTGAACAAAAACTACATACTGCCCTATATTTTTTACTAATTGCATTTGCTTTTTAAGATGCTACAGGAAGGACAGGTAAGAGTTGAAATGCAAAAATACTAATTAGAGAATAATGGGAATAAAAATGGGAATCCTGTTGGTATCCTGTTGTATAGTAAGTGCTCAACTATTTTTTAAAAAGCAACTTCAGCTTTAACCACTGAACTAAAGAAACAGGCAACATTCACTTTTGAGTTAACCTGTACTATGCTTCCTCTTAACTGTCTCATCACTGCAATAACTACACAAATTATTATTTAAACAAAACACCTTTAACAAACATACGGTACTTTTAAGTAAAATGTTGCCTGTGGGCTCTGTTTCTCTGATTCTCACTACCTTGTTTTGTTATTCTAAAAGTAAAATTTTCTGAAGTTTTTATTCTGGGTTTATATAACCATTGGTTCTATTTGACATGACCCTGGTCTGATGGTGCTTAGAGTTGAATTGCCTACAGAAACTCTGGTTTAGATGATTAGCAAAAATTGGCATAAGTGTAAGTGAGCCTATGCTTCTGTGAAGTAATTTTTAAATCAACTTATGGTACACTTTTTGTTTTACTAATAAAACAGGCTCATAGTCAATGCTTTGTAGCAGTCTTTTGCAAATGTTTAAAATACTAAATTCTTTCAATTTTCCATTGTTTCCTTGAATCTAATAGACATACAGTGAAGTTATTGAGAAGCTGGATAGTAAATCTACCCAGTTAAAATAGCACTTTATAAAAGGGAAAAGGGAAGAGATGGTACTAATTTCTATATTTAAATGCTGCTGGCTATTGAATTCCTTTGCATATAAATGAAAAATACCTTTCATTAAAATTAAAGACTTACATGTGGTTCTTAATTACATTCCATTCAAATATATCAGTGTGACCTTTTTATAATTATTGTAAGTTTAACTCAAAAGCATATTAAATCTATTTGTAATAAAATTCAAAACGACTTTTGTGGGAGACTTAATTCCAACAAGTCCTTCTCTTAGTCTTTTTGGTCTCATTGCTGAAACAAATACCTGCAGCCTGTAGAGATTAAGGAGTGAGTTAACTTGCAGAGTGAATGAACCAATATATGAATTGCACACCACTGCAGTCTTTAGAGATCTTAGATCTTTAATTTCCTAAGTCACAGAAATTTGTAACAAGTTTGTCACACCTCTCTAGATTGAATTTGTTTAAATGTTAATGAAAAATATTCACATAAAACGTATAGACTATTATCCATTTATGTGCCTTTATTTTTATTTTAGGATTATGGAAATAGGTCATGTACTTTTGAGAAGCACTTTTTGCATACATGTAGGTGAAAAACAATCTAATTTTGTATAAATTAAAAGTAGATTCCTTGAAGGTGAAAGTAACCATTTGCTCTGAATTTTATACACACTACCTGTATCTAGTGCAGAATAAGCTATAACTTCCCACTGAGGAATCTTACCTTTCATTGCTTGTAAAGCTAAAGTTGAACTATAAGGAGTAGACACTTCAGATCCATCTAAACATTCTATTGAATAGTCAGTATTAAGCTCTTAAATGCGTATGTTACTAATTAACTGCACAAAAATCTATAATTTGCTAAATCTTTGGAGATTGAGCCAATAGTTCATTTAACTTGCTTTTCACATTAGAGATTTTAACTTTCCTGATAAAATTTACTTTAAATTTTCAAAAATCATTCCTGAGGGGAAACTACATGTAGCATTCCTTGTCATGATGTGCTTGTATAGCATTTTCAGCTACTTAACTCTACATTCCTTTTACTTTTCAATTTCCCAGTTGAGAGCTAATGATTTGTGTAATTTGATATTTGTAGAGTTGTAAATGGAAATGATGTCAGTTACTTAGATGTTTGTTGATGTGAAACTGTGTGGTTAGAAAACTCAAGAATGTCCATGTGTTTTGTATAGGTACATTTGAAACTAATGAATGTATGCCACAGTTCTCTTCACTTTTATGGTATTTAAAATGCAACTAGCTTATATAACTTGAATATCTGGTACTATTTTATTCATGCCTGAAATCTTGGAGTCCAAGATGCCTTGTCTTTTATTTTTTAAATAAGTAAAACTTTGGGAGTTTAGAATGTCAAATTTGTAGTTTGTTTTGTCAAAATAAAAGGTTCACAATAGATTTTTTTTCTCTGAATTGTCTAAATCTCTCTAGTCCTTTATCATGTTTTATGGTTCACACAATGCTTTTTGAAGTTTCATTTTATTTGACCTCTTCCTATCCCTTAAAGCTACTGGCCATATATCCCTAATTTACAGATAAGGAAATGAAGGTCGATTGCTGTTCAGGGTCATGAAGTAAATGGCAGTAAGATCTTAAGATTGGGTGTTTTTTCACATTATCTTTTCTACACTTCAGATGGCTAAAATTTGACAGAACTGCTGTAGTTTGGCACCAGTGATAGGCAAATCAACTATTGCCTCTGCCACTATCTTTTAAAAAAAGCCTATGTCTCCTGCATACACCGTCTGCCTACCATGAACCCTCCCCACCCAGACTGACTCTTCAGAAAGGTATGGGGAATGCCTTTTTCTGTTTTCTTCAGCATCCATCAAGAATTGGACATTAATGATTTCACTTTCTCACCAAGGCTGCCTTTGATCTTTATTTTAACAAAATTGACCTCTATCAGATGGCAGAGGACGATCCTGTTATGATTGGTGCTGGGTTTTTTTGTTATTGCTGTTGATTTATGACAACTTAAAAACTTTTTTCACTATAACTGAAGTACTATGTAAATATAGTCTCCATTTCTAAAATGACTGTTTTCCTTAGAAGTGTGTTTCTTGAAAGGATTCATTGAGCAGTCCACTTGAACATATTTTTATAATTTTTCCTAGTGGAAAATTATTTTTTTATTTTGCTAAATAAATGGCATTATTTAGAGCTTTTTGTAAGTTCATCTCAAAAGTGCATACTCTGCAAACCATTGTTCCTTCAATGATGAGCCAAATTTTCGTGAAATGCTTAGTGTTAGAGGACTGGAATGGAACACGTGAGCTTATTTTTCAAGACACAGCGGTAGAGCTCTTTGCATCACTATCTGCTTTTTTCCTCTGAAGGAGCATCACTTTCATGTTACCATACTTTTTTCTCATCTTCTCTTTTAAATATCAGTTTCCTCTCAGGAAGTGGCTTCCCCATTCAGTTAATGCCTATTCCACATTTACTGATGAGTATGTGACAAGTGCTGCCACTCTTGCACAGTGCCTGGCATCTTGAAGGTACTCAATAGGTGTGTTTTTCTTTTAATGGAAAACACTATAAAGAAACATTTTGTAATGTTGCGTTATATGGGTAATTTCAGCAATGTGCATTCATACCAAGTAAATAGAGGTATATTTCATACAATATGGCTCCTAACTGCCAGACAACCACTTTATCTGCAGTCCAGCCAAAAGAACAATCTATTCCAATCCTGGAGGTAAAATCGACTTTATTGGGATTTTGTGAGCAACTTAAGAGATTTTTAAGAGTAAATTTGATATTAAAAAGTTTTACCTTATAATCGACTCAAGTACATAATCCCTAGGGAGAGTCTTTAACTCTACATTCTTATTTTTCAATTTCCAAATTAAGATTATAAAGAGCAAGTAATTTGTGTTATTTGTGGAGTTGTATTTATTGTTAATTGAAATTATGTCAGTTATTTAGATGTTGGTTTATATGGATATGTGGTTAGAAAACCCAAGTTTTCTGGCTTTAAATATTATCAGTATACAAGAGACTACTTATTTAGTGGAACTCCAAAGAGCAAAATAGGAGATGAAGTTTAGTTTGGCCTAGAGAACTTTCTAATCGTCATTTAAAACATGCCATGGACTATCTCATGAGGTAGAGCACTCAACCTCTGGAAAGAACTGGTCAGAAGCTATGTGAGCACCTGAAAAGTTAAAATCAATTATGTAAAGCACCCTTGTAACTGATTGGGTCTTGAGAAACTGCTCTGGGCTATTTCCATTCTGACCAAAGATTTATTCAAAACTGGCCTGACTTAGAATGAAGTTAACCAGAGAAGTAGAGTCATTTAAGTTCTGTGCTTTTTTTAATGCAGTTTTATGCTGTTCTGATCAGCAAACCTGGAAATGCCCGTGAAACTTGGAGCTTAATAGTCTACAAATATAATTGAGCATCCTTGAAATTTGTCCAGAATTTTCAGATATTGATAAATGTGATCTTCAAGTTTCGTTTAGCCCATTTGGGCTGCTATAATAGAGTACCATAGACTAGGTGACTTATAAACAACAGAAATTGATTTCTCAGTTACGAGGCTGGGAAATCCAAGATCCGTTGTCTGATGAGGGCCTGCTTCCTGGTTCACAGACATGCGCCTATTTGCTGTGTCCTCACATAGCAGAAGGAGCAAGTGAGTTCTCTGGGGCCTCTTTATAACGGTGCTACCTTCATGACAAAATCACCTCCAAAGGCCCTACCTCATAATACCATCACTTTGACGATTAGGTTTCAACATATGAATTTGCGAGTGACACAAACATTCAGTTGTTGATGAAAAGGGGCCACATGCTAAGCTGACAAGCTCAGGGGTGGCCTGCATGGTGGCCTTGCAAACTCAGAGACCTAAAGTGACCACATAGGATGGTCTGAAGTTAAAACTTTTTTACTGAAAGCAGTCTATGGTGGGTAGTCACGTCCTAAGGCAGTATTTTTCCCTAACGAAGGTTACTCTTCACCTTAACTAAGCCTGTCTATCCATCTGTGATAACATAACTGATTAACATGCCTTTGTGAAAACAAAGTAATTTTCCTTTTTCTGGACCCCTCAAAGCACTACCACAAATCCCCACATTATCATCGTTATCATGTTAATTGTTGACTGTTAACTATCCTGCACCCACTTAAGAAGTGTGTGTCTATCATTTTACTTTTTATCCAATCCCAGAGATTCCCCTCACCCATTTGCTTTCTCCCGCCTCCCTAATCTATCCCCAATGGATTTCATGTAACTCACTTATATCTCCTCTTTTGATTGTAACTTATAAAACAGGGTGCAAAACTGCCATTCTCTGGAGCATAATTTCAATCCATTGAGATTCTGCTTCCCCGATGTGTGGACAGTTTGGCTCAAATAAACTCACAAAAATTCTTCACAGGTTTGAATGTTTCTTACGTTAATATAATGTTGACACAGTCTGTAAACAGTCTGCACTCAGAGGCAGTTAAATTTGGTTGTCAGCAGCTCAGTGCTATGGCTGCATGCTGAGCCCTCTCTAAGGAGAGTCTAAACCTGGCTGAGGGTTTTCTTTGGCTGTTTGAAAACAGTTACTACTCCCAGGAAGCTTACTATGTATGCCAGTTAAGGCTTAAAGCACTTTATAAAAGGTAAGCTGTTTAATTCTCCCAACTCCCCTCCCCACTCAATTCTGTTATCTCCACTTTATTGGTGGGGATATGAAGTATAGAAACTGGCTGCTTGTCCAAATTCACAAAGCTAGCGGCTGGCAGAGCTGGCCTTGAACTATGGGTTTGTGGTAAGCACTAGGCTATGCCACTTCTCTGGGAACATAAGATACAGTCAACTGGCAGTAAGCTTATGTCAAGTAAGACACATTGAGATAATGCTCAGAGAATGGCAGTTTTGCACCTTGTTTTATACATTACAATCAAAAAAGATTTAAGTGGGTTCCGTGAAATCCATTGGTGATAGACTGGGGAGGTGGGAGAAAGCAAAGTGGGGAAACCCCTGGGATTGGATGAAAAGTAAAATATACATTTTGTGCATAGGTGGATATAGGATAGTTAATAGTCAACAAATAACAGGATAAAAATGAGAAGATTTGTAGTCTCTGCTCTGGTGCATTGGTTGTGCTCTGAGGGGTCTGGGAAAAGGGGAGTTACCCTGATATTCCAAAGGAATGTTATTTAGATGCAAAAGATAATAACCAGGCTCAGTTAAAGTAAGGATTGACTTTTATCAGGGAAGATTCTAGTCCAGGACCTGACTACCTGCCATAAACTTCTTTTAGTTAAGTTTTAACTTCAGACCATCCTTTGTGGTTACTTTAGGTTTCTGAGTTTGCAAGGCCACCACCCAGGCCTTCCCTGAGCTTGTTGGGTTAATGTGTGGACCCTTTTCATCCACACTTATTGCCACCACCTAGTGATGCAGAAATGGTGTAGAAAATTCATAGTCTATAAGAAACCAAACAAAAACCACAAGCAAGCATTAGTGGTTGGGACAGACACACAGGAATAGATTAGAACTGGAATTTTAGGTGTTTGGTTTTTTTCCATCTCACTTAGAATAAAATTCACTTGGGTTGGGAAAGAATGTTTTCTTAGCTCAGAATGATGCAGTTGCTAAAATGTATAGGATGTTTCTATTTTTTAGGCTCACCATCCCTCTCCCCAGCTCCACCCACCATGTCTGAGCACTTAATAGAAGCATTAATAGAAGGACTCAGGCCTCCTTCCATGTAACCATGAGACTGAAGGTCAACCTGAAAGAAAACCAGCAACACAGGATCCATTTTCCTTACTATAGATTTATAAATTTGTAACACTAAATCTGAATTTTGGTAACTCATTTTGGAATAGGCAGGAGCTTACCTTCACTCTATTACTGTGAAATTTAAATGTTTTTTTCTTTTCCCTTTTTTTTTTTTTTTTAATCCTCACCGGGGGATATTTTTTCCATTGATTTTTAGAGACAGTGCAAGAGAGGGAGGGAGGGGGAGAGAGAGAGAAACATCGATGTGAGAGAGACAAACTGGTTGCCTGAGAGTACCCTGACTGGGGGCAGGGATGGAACCTGCAACCCAGGTATGTGCCCTTGACTGGGAATCGAACCTGTGACCCTTAATGTTTTTAAGAGCAAAATCTTTAAAGGCATTGGCTCATTGTTTGTTAACTATGCATGTACAGTATACTTCAAATGAACAAAAAATTTAATTTATTATTATTAAATTTATTATTAAATTAAATTTTCAGTATTTTTATATAAAAAGGTATGCTCATGGATTTAAACAAATGATGGACTAGAAACAGGGTGAAAAGTAAAAACTCATTTCTCCTCTATTTACTTGCCCCAGCTTAACTCCAGCTAATGGTTCCTTCTATACTTCAGATTATTTGATGTTTCTTTAATTCAGGCTGGCCTATCTCCTTGATTTAAAATA